CCCCGTGTTGGTCCAGCGCATCTCCCACGTGGCCCGTTTGGGGGCACTATGAGCATATAATCCACATACTGGGCACATAAACGGTCGTTGGGTGACCTCATATCATCTATGCAGAGTGAAATGAAGGAAGGAGGTAGGATCGAATCTCAAAACATTCCATGGTTGTTAAAAAGGGCAGATTCCCGATCGACAGGGCGGACAAAGCGAACGTGGAAAGAAAAATAAACTACGAACTTTGACATAATACAGTACAGAGGACCGCGCTAGAATGTATTCTTCGGGGAAAAGTGATTATGGGTGGTATCATAGGCAGGCAAGTTTTCAGGGAAATGCAGGTGCTTAAGCATGGCATTGTCTAGGCGTCTTAGAGCCAAGTACGCCACTACAATAACAGTAAAGTACTGCGCCTGGTTCTATACTTAAGCTATAGAGATCCGTGATGGGGAAATTAATTGATGGGGTTGTGTCTAGGGTAACTCGTTTGGTAAGCTACATAAGAGTAGATGAACGATCACTTGGATGGAGAGGTTTAGTAACAACATTATGAGAAGTTCCAAAGAGGGTAATAATTCTGATAATACGCCAATCATTAGGCGTGATATGATGAGCTAAGACGGGTGATGGTCGAACGGGACGGGGTTTGAGGGGAAACGGCGAGACACCGTCCGGACCAGTAGCTGCTGAACGACACATCTTTCGAAGATGCTTTTCAAATGCAATCACAGACACAGGACAGAAGGCATTTGATGAATTTACAAAGTCATATAATGGGAGACTAGACCCACTGACAACAAAAATCGCATTTTGATTTATTGAACATGAGAGTGGATCATGTGGCCACAATATGGATAGGTTAGGTGATCTTGGTCCAGCTAACAGTCATCCTCTCCGCGCAGTTATGTCACTTTTGTAGTGGGCATAACAGTTTCCCGCTAGAAACTCCGGAACCTGGAAGTGCAGGCAAATGAAGAGGGCTTTTTCAACCATGGCATACTCCCGAAGAACGACAGGTGAGCTGGTCCTACTGACTTTGTTGTGGATTTTGACGTGCCTCATAAAGCCGGCTCGGATCCTGGAAGAACGCTTGCAATGAAGACGAACGGAAAGGGTTCAGTTTTTAGTATAGTTATTTTCACGGGTTCCTTTCATCCGCCTTTGTCCTTTCTAACTTCTATCAGCTATTAAAGGTTACACACAGTCCGTTCCAAGTTAAAACGGAAATATCTGTGTCTGTCCTGTGATCAGGATAGATCGAT